ATTTCCCAAAACTGCTAGAATGTATTAAATCAATCAATATGTTAGACAAATCGTGGCATGTTATTTTAATTTCCTCGTAGATTTTTCTACATGGGTACTACGCGATTGCAAAAATCGTAATTATCGAGTTTATTTAGTTATAAATACGCTATGTAGTGGCATAAGAATATCCACTACAACATATTATGCCATGGATGTCATAAGAGGTAACAGAGGGCAGATGAAAAAGAAGATCTTCGTAACCAACTAAAATAATAAAATAGATATTTTATAACTTTCGTTGCAAACCCATCTACCAAGCATGGTAAATATGGCAAAATCCGGCTTATGAGGTTGTCTATCGACAAGGCCTATGTCCAGTTGCACACTTTTAGATAGACTTTAATGAATTAATGTATGCATGAACTAAATTAACCCAAAAAATTATTAATTTTAGTTGTGTGAACTTAGTTATAAATGGTACCAAAATAATTTATCTATATTTACAGTATTTTCCTCTATGATAGATTTTAATAGTGTTATTACATCAACAGTATTATAATTATTTAATAACTTTTTTATTTGATAATAAATTTAATTTATTTTTCACTTTTTAATTTTATTAATTTTGTACCAAGTAAACGATCATGCTATTATTTTACCCCTAAAAGAATTAATGCCCTATGTTGGCTACACTTTAAGATTATTAAATTGTCAGAATTTATAATAAACCGAATAAAAATACTCAAGACTTGGCCTAAAGGTCTAGATACCAGGCCATAAACTCCAAAAAAAAATTATCAGAATTACCGATAAAGTTTTAGTGCTGTCCAAAAATCAGTATATCATTTTTATTTTCTGTTCGATTCGGTTTCGGACAGAAGAATTGAAATTAGAATCGGTTTTGTATTTTATCATTTAATATTTTTAATACAACATTATTTTTTATTTCATTTAAATTCAAAGATAATATAACACAATCTATGAACTTACAGAGAAATAAAATCAAATCTGTAGTTTCAAATAACAATCAAATCTCTTATTATATTCTAAAAGTAAATTGGAGTAAAATATGATATAGTTTAACTGAAAAGATCCGCTTGGCCGTCTTCTTCTTCTTCTTCGTTACTCTTTGGCTTCTCTTAAAAGAATTCGTCAATGTCAAGTCAGTTATGGGAGTGACAACAAGGTATACAAAATCTTTTATTTTTATTTTTTGTGATTGACTTGTAATCTACAACAAAAGACCACACAAACATTTATAATTCTATCACCAACAATAATGAGTATTATGTTAAAACTTAATACTATTAGTATAAATAAAATCACATAAAATGTGAACAAATGAGAACAGAAGAGAGAGCAGACAGGTAGAATTAGTAGGACAAGGGATGTTTTGGGGAAGGATATCATACAAGAAGAGCTTGAGTCGTGGACATTCGACGCTTGGCCGTCTTGAGATACAATTGGCTTTTACTGTCTGCTGTGTTTAGTTGTCATAAATTAAATTTAAAATTTTGTACAACCGACTTCAATTTAAGTGGTTAGATATATGTCAAAAACTATTGATCAAACCTTGATCAAATTTATATGGGACCACATGAGAAGTATCAGCTTTCAAATAAAAAAAGAATCATCGAAATCGGTTCTCCCAGAAAAAAATAAGGTAACACACATAAAAAAACATACACTCGGATTGAGTACCGTCTCCTTTTTGAAGTCGGTAGAAAATACCCAAAATCTTCGCAATATGGCACAATGATGCATGAGCGTATTGTGAAGAATTTCGTGAATCAAATACTTATTAGACTAGGCTGAAATTTATATATTTTGACTGAAGGACCCCGTATTCATAATCATGTAATAAACTAAAAAAAGTTTGTTAGTAAAAGAAACGTTAAAATCGGCTAGCAATAAGGGCTACTGAGGTGACTTTATTTGTCACACAAATGGTCACACGTTGTCATCATCACTCTTTTTCTTCGAGTTCTAGTATATATATACACTTTTTACCGTTTTGAAAAATATGCTTAAATAAAGTTTCTACATTTATTTGAAAATGCCTATCCGAAATTGAATGTGGTTTATGAGCAACAAAGACGCGCGCTCGTGTGTGTACGAGTCATATGCACGGAGCATTTGCCTACTATTTACTTCCACTTTGACACGCTCGCTACTAAGTTGTTAACTACGACACGAATTGATTCCAATTTTCCCTTCATACTTTAAACGATCTTAGCACCATAATAATAAATAAAATAAAAAAAAAATACATTTCATCGATGACTGGAATAGATGTTATACAAAAACATCTATTCCAGTCATCTGCACACCTCGACTTAAATAATGTTTTTACACCCACACAAAAGACAGTTCGGAATATAAGTTTAGACTACAGAGCGAGGGAACAATCAGTTGTAGAAAAGATAGTTGAGCTGGAAGGCCAATGATAGGTTGGCGCGATTTAAATAATAGTTATTCAGCGGCGCGAGCGGTGAAAGCGTTTAAAAGCGGACTAGCTGGCTCTGTCCAGTGAGGACGAAGTAACGCGGACGGCTACGAAGGCAGTGGAATGGTGTCGAGCATTGCCGACCTCAACTGACACGAACAACGCGTCAGCGCGTAGGTACGCTGTTCAATAAACATATTGTATTACAGACAACCGATGGCTAACGGCATATTTGAAATTTTGAATCAAGTATTTACAACTATTAACAATTTAAAACGATTAACTATTTACAAAACGAACTATTTACGTCTTAAATATGCAGTCAATTAAAATAAAACTAACTAACTGGTATTTTAATAGGTGTTCAAAATGAAGTCCGTTTCTCAATTGTATCACATCATGTGCATACAAAATAAAGCTCTCATTGTACCACATCACGTGGCTCCAACGACAACGTGTACAGCTGACCATAGAACCTCTGAATTTCACTCAAAATCTCAGGTGTCCCGAAAAAAATGCTGCCACATTCAGTCTTCAGCTTCAATAGCTGGCTCTTTCTGACAGACAGATCTCTGGCAAAGACTTTAAAGCTCTGGTTCCGCGCGATCGCTTCTTCAATACGAGCTGTATTGAAGATGCGTAAGTCCCGCCGCATGCATTTGGAGATCTGTAAATTCCTTAGTCTTTTCTTAAATATAAAAAATGAAAATTTATTTAATATACTTTAATTTGAAAAATAAATTAAACATAAATGTAATTTTAAATGTTACAAATTAAATCTTATTGAATACAGACTTTATTCATTGTTGTTTTATCATTATTATATGTTTAACAAGTAGAAAAAGTAAAAGACATCGAGACGTTGCTGTAAAGGCTCTTGTGTGCTTGTGAAGATTATAGATATCCTGTATATTACAGATTATTGCTAGCAATGAAACTTGATAATACTTGTAAGGATATTTATTTGATTATACTTGATTTATAATACATGTGTGCATAAACAGTGTCTATTAGTAGTTAACTTGATGTTTAAGTTTTCTTTTGAAGTATAACGGCGACAAACGAGCACACAGTCTACCTGACGGTAAATGGTTGCTGCGGCCCACAGACATCTACATCTATCCTCGATTACGAACCAAAATGCAGATGCGTTGTCACCCGTGAGGGCTTAGATGGAATGCCTCGTTTCCACTGATTATAGTTTATGTTAACAATACCTACATCCGTTTCTACACTCAACATACGAAATAGCAGTGCTAAGCTGCTCTTTTACGTTGGTATTCTGTGAGAGCGTGGTCCTTCCCCGGTCGAGCCGACCCATTCGTGCTACAACTATACTACTATTATAGCTGCAGCATGGCTCTACCATGTAAAAAAACGTAAAGAGCTGAGTGTCATTTACACACTCAATGTACTTCGTAGATTTATAAACTTTGATTGAGGATTGTGTGTTTTATTTGTAATAAATTACTAATAAGAAGTTTTTGTGAATAAACTTATTTGTTTTAAAAAAAATACTAGTTAATATTAATACAGGGAAAACCACATATTAAAACTAAATTACACACAGAACATGCTAAATAAATATTAAAACTATTATTTATTTTAAGTATCGACGTTTTTAGTCCAAATGAATCGTATGAATGAATCGTAAACGTCACTTTGGCGTAGCTTTTATGAACACACTAAGGAATGTGGTAATTCTTCAAAATGGTCGCTTTGTATGGTTTGCCAACTTGCATGTCTGTGTTTTAGAGTTCTTTGTTTTCATATATCTTTCGATTAATCGTGATATTTATAGAAAAGAATGTACTGTGCGATGTTATTTTGTGTATGAAATATCATTGACTTTGTAATCGTAAATTGTTGTGTGCAAGAACGATGTCATCGGTAATGTGAGAGCACTCGTCTATCATTTTTATTTTACGAGATTATGACGTCTAAGTTTCGCATACGAATCTACGGAGAGTAAAAAATATCAGGTAACTAATTCGTCTTCTGGTAGAGTTTTCATTCATCCATTTTTTGGCGATGTATGAGAAACAAAGCAGACTCTAATTTTGGCATTCCACATCTCTATGACAGATTTGATTCGTGTTGAGCATTCTTTAGTTTTGCTATTAATATCGTTAATTTTAGCATTTTTATTTAACCTTTTATAGTAGTTAAAGTTAAATAATTGTTTATATTGTAAATAAAAGTTTATATTTGCTTATATAAAGTAAAATTCAGTTATAATTATAATATTTCAATAACAGTCTTTTTCTAGTATGTAATTTATTTAATTCTAAACTTTATATAGAGAAGTAAAAGGTTGTGAATGCTAGTGTCCTATAAATTGGTTTCTTTTCAGGCACTGACATAAAATATTTTAACAATCCAATAACAAAAAATGTCAACCAGGCATTGAGAGTGGACAAAGTGTCATTTATAAATTTGGGGTGAAACTTTCAAACACATAATAAAATACAAAACGCAAATGAGACTTGTAACAGCTGATAAGTGCAGCTGGCGGGGTGTGCTTATGTGATGGGAGGGGTGGGATGAAAGCTCGGCGCTCGGGCGCTGCGCCATGAACCCGCCGGCGCCCGGCAAGACGGCCACGCGCTCCTCCGGGTATCACCAGAAGGCGCTCGCCGAAATTCGCAATTCACTACTTCCTTTTGCTAATATTGGAAACTCTGAACCACCTGGCTCCTCTGCAGCAAGTACAGTAAGCTCAGGTGTTAGTTCTGGCTTTAGCTCATCTTCAGGAAATGGACTGGATAAGGACTTGAATGTGCTACCACAGTCGCTTAACCAGCTTATTGCTCTTGGATATGAAGAGGTAAGAAAAACTTCTGTAGTTCCTTATAACTCATATTTTGAAGAATTGTATGATTTCATTACAGTATACAATTTTTAAATATCTATTTAATTATCCTCTTACATGACACTCATACTTAACTCAGTATTGTTTCTGTGAGCAAAAATTTCTTTGCCATTTCTTCTGAGGTTTGGTCTGATACTATATTTAGAGAAAAGATGATATTTCTTTAATTACTTCTACTTATTGAGAGAATAAATATATTATAGGTTATTTATATTTTTTTTAAAATAACATAGTAACTTAAAGCTTGTAAATGTTTCTTGTTTGTTATTTAGTTAATAACAGTTAACTAGTTTCAATAGTAGAATGTTATTTGTTCTTATTTCATACCAATAATAGTTGATAGTTTATAAGATAATCCAATTGGAATTTATAAGTTTAAAAGGATTGTGAAGCTGTAAGATACAAAAAGCGATAACATTTTCCCCCTAACTTATTATTTAGACAAATTTTCATAATTTTTGGAAATGTAGATAAAATAAAAAATTAAGTCCATACATTTTTTTTTAATATTAAATAAATATTGTATACTATATAAGTTATTAGCATGTCAACATTTATATTTTTGACTTAATAACTTCCTCGAGTGTTTTTTTTTAATTTATTTAAACTAAGTTGAATTACTAAAAAAGAAAAAATGCAGACCTAGAATAAGGTGTACTGAATATAATGAGACTAAGATTGTCTCATTTTGTAAAGTTTTATGGAGGTGAGAATGTTATCACCTAAAACAATATTACAAAAAGGAAATGTCAGCAACTCCTTCAAGACTTGCAACTCTCTCTATCGTATAATGTGGTGATACAGAGCGAATGGTATAAAACAGATAGCATTTTTGAAAATACCTACTGTCACTGCATATCGGCACTTTACAATCCTCTTAAGACCTATTTTATCATCAATACATAAAATTGAAGTGTCTATCTGTAATATTGAAATATCTGGCTTCTATATTTGCATGTACATGACATGACATAAATAAAACAACATCAATAACTATTTTTTAAATTTTCTGTCTGTCTATATTGGCTAATCTTCAAAATGGCTGAACCGATTGTATTAAAACTTTACGACCAGGTAGAGAGCAAGGCCAGGAGTGATCTAGGTTATATTTTGTATGAAAAATTAGAGATTTTTTTTGATAAAACAACAATTTTATGGTCTTATGTATATGTAGCCAGGGCGGGTTGCTTGTCATAAATAAAATTGTTATTGTAGTAAATTTAAAAACCACAGTTACCTGTTATGCTATGGCAGTTCACAATCTTTCATTATCACATATTCATAATGGTTTTTTATTCAAATGTTCATTGGACAGGGTTCCGTTTGTGTGATTCCTCAATATGGTAATCTCTAATAAGAAGCTATTAGGACAGGCATTAAGGCAGAAGGTCAATCAGTATTACCGCCAATAAAACACAAGTAGATTAACTTTATTTAGTAGCAGTCAGAATGTCAGTATGCGAAGTTAAGTCCGATTTTTGTGTTATGCTAAGTATTGCTTACTAGGTTCTGAATACATTGTACCTATGTTTAACCCCGCTTCTGATATTGTGTAGATGTTACAATTAAGGTTGTGCAGCAGTGTCACAATAACAATAATAGTATGCAAATTATAATTATATACAACAGGTTTATACTGCAGTCTATTTCAACTCGTTTAAAATTTGACAGCAAATGTCAATTTTTACAAAGACTGTACTGCAGCTATCGGATGATGTTTTTGCATTTTAACTGGGAGTAATTTTTATTTTTCAGTTTTACTAGGAGTCTGTTTGTGTAGGTACAACCCTTTTACCTTTTTTTTTCTTTTATAGGATAGGGTGACAAAAGAGCATACAGTCCACCTGATGGTAAGTGGTTACTGTGACCCATAGACATCTACATCTATCCTCAATAAAGACTCAAGATGCAGATGCGTTGTCACCCGTGAGAACTAAGATGGAATGCCTCTTTGCCAGTAAAAGGGGTCTCTGGTTCTCTACACTCACCATACGAAACACAGTAGCGGTAAGCTGCTATTTTACGCTGGTTTTCTGTGAGAGTGTGGTCTTTACCCGGTCGAGCCAACCCATTCGTTACCACCACAACCACGAAAATTATTATATAACCTATTTAGAACTGACTGCTGCTTTCTGTGGACTTCTTTATTTGAAGTTGGCTGCAGGTGTCCATGGACTGCAGTAGCCACTTACCAACAGGTGGACTATAAGGTCATTGGTGACATCAGTTTAATAAAAAAAAAGTTAAATATGCTTCTTAACTAAACCATTATTTAAATTATAATAAGACTATGATGTTTATAAAATATGTTTTGTAATAAGACAAAAGTTAATATTTTAATTTTTTAACAATAATTTTTAAAATGGGATAATGAATTATTAAAAATAGGACCATTTCCTATAAACTTTGTATTTTTTTTCAAAACAGTTAATTTTTCCTTGCAAGTGTATAATTAAGTCTAGTCTACCTTACCTATACAGAGTTGTTTTGCAATATAGGAGAATGGTGAAAAAAAGTTAATTAAAAAAAAAAATCTTTTAAATTCAGAATGTGTAGTACTGCATTATTTAACCGATTGTCATTCATAAATATCTAACGTCTACTATTTTGCTACACATGCACAGATTCGTAAGGGTTGCTCGGTTGCCAAAAACATAGTGAATTGAATTGCATACAGAGGAGCCCGCGTACGTATAGTTGTTGCCCATAAATCACATTCAATTTAGGATAATTTCAAATTAAAGTGAAAGCCTTATTTACTCATATTTTCAAAAAGTGCATTAACAGTATAATGTTATATTAAGTTGCCACTGCTAATTTGTTAGGAAATGGCCAAACAAATATGTCTTTCTTTCTTTCTTTTAATGGACTTATACGGGCAATGTTACTACACTACACTTTGACCTTAGCAGAATGAAAAGGCTGTGACTTATTAGCCGATCAGCAGTGCAATTATGTAACTATGAAATGTATGTTATATATATGTATCGCTACCACGTTGTTTCTAAATATTTTCATAACAATTGTTTAAAATATTGTAAATTGTGCTTTTAAAAAAAAAAGTCCTGCTGGGTTTCTTGCTGGTTCTTCCCAGGACTGAGGTTTTTTCTGAACCAGTGGTAAAAGTAAAAAATAACTTTTAATAATTTGCCGTGTAGTGGCGGTTAAGAATATCCACTACCCCATATCTTCCCGTGGGTGTTGTAAAAGGCGACAAAGGGAAACAGGCAGGAGATGGGCAGCAGCATCTTCCTGATAACAGCAAAAATACAATAAAAAAACTGCGGTTGTCAACCCGCTCGCCAAGCGTGGCAACTATGGCAAATACCCCCATATGAATGTAACAAAGAGACGGCCCCCAGTTCCCGGCGGCCCCGCTATTCCTGGCTACGGTGGCGACCATGGTAACGGCGGGGCAGGGGTGCTAAGAATCTCCGGTGGAGGTTCGGTTGCCACCTAAGACGACTCGACCTGGCAACATACAACGCACGCACCCTGAGGACTGACGAGAAGATTGTGGAGCTAGAAGAAGAGATACACAAGTTACGCTGGCATATTATAGGATTATCCGAAGTCCGAAGAGAGGGGGAGGACACGGTTATCATTGAATCCGGCAACTTGCTCTATTACCGGGAGGGCGACCATCTGTCCCAAGGAGGTGTCGGATTTATTGTCCACAAGTCTCTCGTTAACAACGTTGTAAAGATTGAGAGTGTGTCGATGAGGGTTGCGTACCTTATACTCAGAATCATCAAACGGTATTCGCTAAAGGTCATACAGGTTTACGCACCAACTTAGGCACACCCCGATGAGGAGGTGGAGGAAATATATGAGGATATCTCTAGAGCCATGCATTCCTCTACAACCCAATATACGGTGTTAATGGGAGACTTCAATGCAAAACAAGGCACAAGAGAGAACGAAATGAAAGTAGGGAAATTTGGAATAGGGCAACGAAACTCAAGGGGCCAGCAGCTGGCCGACTTCATGGAGAAAGAGGGACTCTTTATGATGAACTCTTTTCTTCCAGAAGCGGCCCCACAGGAAGTGGACCTGGTCGAGCCCCGACGGTTCGACAAAAAATGAGATTGACTTCATTATGACGACCAGACGACAACTGTTCAGTGATGTCTCCGTGATCGCGAGGGTGAAAACTGGTAGCGATCACCGAATGGCATTACCCCGGAGGCGTGGAGCAGAAGTGCGGTGGTCTTGTTCTTCAAGAAAGGTGACAACGCTCTCTTGAAGAACTACAGACCGATTTCCCTTCTGAGCCGCGTCTACGTGCTGTTTTCGAGAGTCATTACGAATCGTCTCGCGCGCGGACTTGACGACTTCCAGCCTCCCGAACAAGCCGGTTTCCAAAAGGGCTTTAGCACCATAGACCACATACATACCCTTCGGCAAATTGTACAGAAGTCCGAGGAGTACAATTTGCCACTATGTCTGCCGTATGTGGACTATGAGAAAGCCTTTGATTCCGTCGAAATTTGGGCGGTGCTACAGTCCCTTCAGCGGTGCCAAGTTGACTGTCGGTATATCGAAGTGTTGAAGTGCTTGTACAGTAGGGCTACGATGGCTATCCGAGTACAGAACCAGAATACGAAACCTATCCAATTGCAGAGGTGTAAGACAGGGTGACGTTATATCCCCGAAACTCTTCACCGCTGCATTAGAAGACGTTTTCAAGCTTCTGGACTGGAAAGGATACGGTATTAACATCAATGGCGAGTATATCACTCACCTTCGATTTGCCTACTATATAGTCCTTATGGCAGAATCGCTGGAGGAACTGAGCACCATGCTCAATGACCTCAATAGTGTCTCCCAACAGATAGGTCTTAAGATGAACATGGACAAAACAAAGATCATGTTTAATGTCCATGTCACACCTATGCCGGTAGTTGTTGGGAACACTAAGCTCGAAGTTGTTGACGAGTATGTTTACCTGGGACAAATAGTCCGACTAGGTAAGTCCAACTTCGACCGAGAGGTCAATCGACGGGTTCAACTCGGCTGGGCAGCGTTCGGGAAACTACGATACATCTTCTCGGCAGACATACCTCAAAACCTTAAAACGAAATTGTACAACCAGTGCGTGTTGCCAGTGATGACTTACGGATCTGAGACGTGGTCTTTCACTGCTGGCCGTATGAGGAAGCTCAAGGTCGCTCAGCGAGCTATGGAGAGGACTATGCTCGGGGTTTCTCTGCGTGATAAACTTAGAAATGAGGATATCCGCAGTAGAATCAGAGTAACCGACATAGCCCAACGGATTAGTAAGCTGAAGTGGCAGTCGGCCGGCCATATAGTTCGAAGAACCGACAACCGATGGGGAAGAAAGGTTCTCTAGTGGCAGCCTCGTACCGGTAGGCGAAGTGTAGGGCGACCCCCCACGAGATGGAGTGACGACCTGGTAAGATATGCAGGAGGTCGATGGATGCAGGTGGCTCAGGACCGTGCTTTGTGGCATTCCTTGGGGGAGGCCTATGTTCAGCAGTGGACTTATGAAAGACTGTAATGATGATGATGAACTCTAAATAAGTATTACTGTAAAATGTAAAACATTACGTCAAAATAAAGCTAACCACTATTCACTATACCATTACAGCCTATTAAAGTCCACTGCTGAACATGGCCTCCCCCATAGATTGGCAACCGGAGTTTTTATTTTTAGTCGTTATTAGGGAGATGCTGCTGCCCGTCTCCTGATTTGTTTCCCTCTGTCACCTCTTATGACACCCATGGGTTGATATGGGGTAGTGGATATTCATACACCGCCACTAGACTAGACTATACTACAACATTATTCACTACAGACTTAATTGAAAAGAAGAAATGTAATATGAATTACAAGATATGATCATTTTCTTGCTGGAATATTTAAGTTGTTTATCATGATTTTTATCCGAGTGCATCAGAAGGAAGGTAAAGTTTTGCAAGTTTTGTTTTGTTTTATGCGCATGTATGTCTATTTCTGAAGCACTTTCTGTAGCTGAAACGGCTTGATGGATTTTAACACAATTGGGTGTCGTTAGATTCGTCTTATTTGTTGAAGGAACATAATTTTTTCTTACTTTATTAACTTTTTTACACAGTCGGAATCTTTTAAATTACTGTTCTAACTATTGGGCTTTTCTCTATTATTATTTTATTCATCGTCATCATCAGTCTGTAATAGTCCACAGCAATCCACAGCTGTTTCATATATGTGGTATAATAATAATAATTGTTTTCAATTTTTTCCTTCATCGCTGAGCATGTGCTAAATCAGAACTTCATTTTCAATTACAATCTCATTGGATCGAACCTTGGATGCCCATGTTCTTCTGTAAAATTCATGGCGAGGGCCTAGTCACTCTATTGTCTATCCATATAATCCTAATTAAGTACGAAGTGACGGCCCCCAGTTCCCGTCGGCCCCACTATTCCTGGCTACGGTAGCGACTATGGTAACGGCGGGGCAGGGGGTGCTAAGAATCTCTATTGTCTATCTAAATCCTATTGCATTGAGATTATTATGTAAAAGTAAAAATTAGTAGCTTTTGTTTGTCATTAGGTGCCCTTACACAAATTAAAATTATTTACCGTTAGGATATTATAACAGTTTAGCAGTGGACTGAAGAAGAGTTATGTATTTACATAACCCTTCTTAGAGTAATTTAAAATTGTAAGATGTTGTTTTGTGTTTGAAAATATATTTTTTTGCAGGATCCAGCCGTTAAAGCACTTAAATATGCTGGAGGCCGTTTCGACGCAGCTCTTGACTACTTGTCGAAGCAGCAAGAACCTCTTAATGGAGTACTCAAGACGAGCAACTTCAGCACTAAGTTAATAAGAAAGCCGAGCCTAGAAAGGGAGCTAAATCTTCACAGGGGAAGCCCCGCACTTGACTCTGGCGCCGGAAGTTCGAGGTCAGACAGTCCCCGACAGTCAGATGCGCCACCGCTTCCTCATGAGAAGTTGAGTAGGCAGTACTCTCCTTCTGGTTTTTCTGAGCCTCCACCACCGCCACCTCCAAGATGTCCCTCAACACCACCCGTGCCTCCATCTGTCCAACAGCTCATGAAGAGGATGTCACCGGCTCCGCCCTTGCCACCTGCAAGAGGCACCAGCCCGGTGGCTACTGGGGCCCCGACACCTCCTGCAAGACAGCCTATGATAGTTCAAAATGGACCTCAAGTACAACAGCAACTAAGCCAGCAAATACAAGCGCTAAGCATATATCAACCTGGATCTGCAGGTGCCGAACTACCACCTCCTTACCCACTGTCCAGCGTACCCCCGCCCCCGTCTTACTCCGTTTCAATGCAGAACCGACAAAGCCCCACGCAGTCACAAGATTACAGAAAGAGTCCCTCATCGGGAATCTACTCAGGGGGCACCTCCGCAGGTTCGCCGAGCCCGATTACTGTAACGCAATCGACCGGCTCTTCGTCTGGGATGACTCGACCTACGCCTATTCAGGCGTGGACAGCGAGACAAGCCGTTCAACCTCCAATTATAATGCAATCCGTGAAAAGTACACAAGTTCAGAAGCCAATATTACAAACTGCTATCGCTCCTGTAGCCCCACCGCCCGTCGCAAGTTCTGTTGTGCAGCCACCGCCGCCATCTTACGCTAGTTCGATTCAACAAAAGCAGCATGCGCAAACTCCTCCAAGTTATCCGCTAGCACCAAAACCTTCATCACCAGGATCAACTCCTCCTGTCATACCGACAGCGACCACACCCACCGTCCCAACTACTGAACCTCCGAGTTACGCTATTACTATGCAAGCCTTGGCTGTTCAAAGAGGAATGCACCCTATACCTCCGCCACCGTACGGCAACCAAAACGACAATACAACGACAGTCAATTCTCATCATTCTCCATTGCACAAAAAGTTTTCTAACAACTGCGATATTAAAGGTGAAACGTCTCAGGGTGTGGAAATTAAGTGCCCTAATCAGAACTGTAATTTATTAAAAGATAGTGTTCCATCTAGCTCTGATAAGAGCTCGAATGGATCAACGGAACGTCGCATGAAAGGTGGACCTGAGAAGATCAGGCATCAGTCGCCCATTCCTGAACGTAAACATATAAGCAAAGAAAAGGAGGACGAGAGAAGAGATTGTAAAGTAAGGAATTACTCACCGCAAGCATTCAAATTTTTCATGGAGCAGCATGTTGAAAACATTCTTAAATCCTACAAACAGAGAACGTACCGTCGCATGCAGTTGGAGAAAGAAATGACTAAAATCGGTCTCAGTGCGGAAGCACAATGTCAAATGAGAAAGATGCTGTCTCAAAAAGAATCCAATTACATAAGGTTGAAACGGGCAAAGATGGATAAGTCAATGTTTACAAAAATAAAGCCGATAGGTGTGGGTGCGTTCGGGGAAGTAACCCTTGTAAGAAAGATTGATACTAGTCATCTATATGCCATGAAGACGTTGCGGAAAGCAGACGTGTTGAAACGCAACCAAGTTGCACACGTGAAGGCTGAAAGAGACATCTTAGCAGAGGCTGATAACGAGTGGGTAGTCAAGTTGTATTACAGTTTCCAGGACAAGGATAATTTATACTTTGTCATGGATTACATCCCTGGCGGTGATCTAATGTCGCTGCTAATTAAGTTAGGCATATTTGAGGAGAACTTGGCGAGGTTCTACATCGCGGAGCTCACATGTGCGGTGGAGAGTGTACATAAGATGGGCTTTATCCACCGCGACATCAAACCCGATAACATACTCATAGATCGAGACGGTCATATAAAGTTGACTGATTTCGGTCTTTGCACAGGCTTCAGATGGACGCATAATTCGAAGTATTATCAAAGAAATGGTGAGTAAAATTTTGAATGGCTTATTTAATCTTAATAGTCAAAGACTTCTATGTACATTACCAGACCGGCAATTCATAACAAAAAATGTCACAGCTGCCGATCGCGCGATCCCGCCAACTGGGCGGGTAATTGGAACGCTAAATATGTCACGCAGTTGTATTTTCTTTAACGACAGTTACTGTTTTTTAACTAATACAAAATAATACTTATCTGAAATATAATTCAAATCACGTTGACAAAGTGTATACATAAATAATGACAGCGTTTTTTAGTCATATTGAACAAAATCAGTGTTAGATTGTCGTAAACCACGTCCGCTGTTTACAAAACAAGGAACTAGTCTTCTCGCCCGCTCGCAGTTGACTAAAGAATTTACGGATAATTGACCGTTACTTAGTGCGCAAGGTATTAGTACCGTAGTACCTAGTAATATTTTGGGTCACTACTAGATTAGAAGTCTACCTCCAACTTTATTCTATTTGCTTATACCAAACAGGTGACGATCCTGTACAGTTAATAGTTTACGACGGTATTCGATAATTGTCGATCGTTCAAGAAGATATTACACCATTAATAACATCCTATATTTACTAAATGTAATCTATATAGTGTGCCAAGAGAATCCTTTAACACCGCCACGTAGACGATAAGGTCTTGAATCAACTGATTTTCTACCGACTTCAAATAAGAGGAGGTACTCAATTCGGCTGTATGTTTGTTTTTTCTGTAAGAAAAGCATGATTCCTATCAAGATAAGGATTTTATACTATCATTAACCAAATAAACTTCATATTTGACAGATCACGGACGGCAAGATTCAATGGATCCCGTAGATGGAGAATGGGGTGCGATGGGAGAGTGTCGATGTCACCAGCTGAAACCTCTAGAAAGGCGGCGGAAACGGGAACATCAGCGGTGTCTTGCGCACTCTCTAGTCGGTACCCCAAATTATATAGCGCCGGAAGTACTACAACGGACGGGATACACGCAACTCTGTGACTGGTGGTCCGTCGGTGTCATTTTGTATGAAATGCTGGTCGGATCGCCGCCTTTCCTAGCGTCTACGCCCGCCGAGACGCAGCTAAAGGTTGGTAACATCTGATTTCTCTCTTAGCTAATATATATTTAACCCGGATTCGATCCCTGCAGGCACGAATAAAATTGTTAATTGCAATTTTAAGTGCTGATTTACCACGTGCTCGGCGGTTGAAGGAAAACATCGTGAGGAAACCTGCATTTCTGAGAAATAAGAAAAAAAATCGACGACATGTGAAGTTCGCCAACACGCAGTAGGGCAGCGCGGTGGCCACTTTCTTACCCTAAAATCCTCTCAGAAATGAAAGGAGGCCTGTGCCCAGCAGTGGGACGTATATAGGCTATAACTTTAGTGTATATTTTGTCATCATTTGTCCATGTTAAATAATTACTTATCATAAAAGCTACCAATATTTTTACCTATGAAATTACAATTTTATATGGGAGATAGAAGGATTTTTAAGAGAATTTTTTTTTAATTTTATCCTAAATTTTTTCTGTAACTATTAACAAATTCTTGTCATTTAATGGGCAGTTTGTTGATGGCCTTGCTATAAAAGTCTTCTGTACGAGAATCGATGAACTCACTTTACTGCTTCTTCGGAAATTAAATGTTTCTCGGAATCAAAAAGTTATCTAAGCTTCGAAAAGTAAGTCTTTTTGGAGCTGGGTCTACAGAATATGTTGGATGAGGAAGGATCTCTAGCTTTAGCTCTGCTAATTTGCCAATGTCTTGTGCAGTATGTGGCTATGCATTGTCAAGAAGAAGAAATGGCGAAGAGCAGTTCACCAATTTGGGTTGTTTGAGTCCCAGCTTCTCCACTATCATTTGAAATTCTTGACAATAACTGTTAGCATGAGTTGTGGCACCAGATACAAAGACGCTATAGAGAATAACACCATCAGTAGACTACCAAATTGTCATCATCATAAGCTTCACCTGGCTTATCTTTCGTTTCGGGCATTGCTTGGCTTGTGCACCTAAATCTAACTACTGATGTACGCTGTCAATCGTCATATCCACTTCTCATCACAGGTCGAATTTCCTCCTCTTATTGTACCTTATTTAGTTCCTGAGGTACTTCCTTATTTTACCGTTATTACCGCAAATTATCTAATATTGTTTTGACAATTATATCACAACTTATATCAAAAGCTACCTTCAGAGCTTGATTCAGTCAAGAATACTCCTCGTTGCTTCTTAAAGCAGCTTTTGGCGACGACACACGAGGACTGATGGGAAGCTCTACAATATTTCTTTCTTGAGGTTAAAGCGTCATCGTGAAAACTTCTATGCAGACAGTCTTTTATATGCCGATGATGCCGCTTTTGTTGCAATGTCTCCCCGTGACTTTCAGACCATAATGGACAAATTCTCATATGCGTGTAATCGACAAATTTTGCTATTTAGGTTCGATAATAACGAGCAATCTCTCGCTCGAACAACAACCATCTTACATCTAGAACCAAAATTCCGATGTACCAAGTGTGCATTCACGCATCTCTGCGTGAAGCCTGGGAGACATCTGCAAAACAAGAACGTCGACTTAATGCCTTCCACATGCGCTGTGTGCGCAGTATCTTAAGTATCACATTGTAAGACAGGATCACAGTCTTTGAGAAAGCGCAGCTGCGCTACCCAGTTTCATCGCCCTGCTTAAACAGCGACGTCTGCAGTGGGGCATGTGCATCTTCTTGCTTTCCGAGGCAAGTTATTCTTGGTGCAGTGGTGGATGCAAACAGGTGTATTGGGCGACCTCTGCTCCGTTTTATAGACCGCGTCAAGTGTGTCTTGACCTCATTCAACATCGGGCATGGTGAGTGGGAGAGGCCGGCGGAGTATAGGATACAGAAAAAAGAGAGAAGATATTCCATCTGTGGTTTGTCACATGCCTGCACTAGGTGTGGCCGCTCTTGCCGTTCCCTGTTTGGTCTTCATAGCCACCAGAAGAAATGTCACCAGCCACACATTGCTTATGACGTCTGCAAAAGACGTGAAGGCTGATGACGATCTCCAGGCGACCACGAGATTCATTTGTGAGGTCAAAATTTCCCGAACGAAAGCGATTGAACTTCATTCTTCATTTGTTAGTTAGTATTGCTAGATCCATGTACGAGCATGTCATTGATATTGCATTGGAGACACTTCGTTTCCACGTTGGAACTTATGTTTCATCAATAACACACAAATTTCCTTAGTCTATGGTAATAAATATAGCGATGCCAGCTGTTCTGTGGAATTTATTACGATTGAATTTCATGGGCTTTCATTTTTTTGCACGGACCCCTAATTATTTTTTTAAATGAAAGAAGCCTAAGTCACTCCTTACAACATCAGATATCTATCTAGCTAGCTATCAGCTATCTGCCAGTGAAAATCCCGTTACAATCAGTCCAGCCATTTCGTAGATTAGCAGGAACAAAACAAGACTGACATTATTAGACAAATATTTTTTTATTATAAGTACCGTATATACTTTCATAAGCATATAGTAAAAAGCTGTTATTTTGACATTACAAACAGACACCTCAATTTTATTTATTTGTACAGATTGGGAAATAACGCAAAGAAACAATTGAATGTTATTTTGAAAAAAATTATTACAGGCCTAAATTTTCTTTTATTAATTTATAATTCTAAGTCAAACTGTAGCAGTTCAAAGTGGCCAGTTCAACAAAACGGTGATATTATAAGTCAAATCTAATATTTTTATCCCATATGAAGATGTAAAGTATTTAATATGAAATGAAGATTATTTCATTACACTGATATTGTCTTTTTACAAAAAGTAGTTTATAATATTGATCTCAGGTTTAAACTAGTCTATGTAGTGAACGAAGTAGCGCGAAAAATATGCAAACTAAAATGTAAAGTATGAATTTTGACAGCAAATATCCAATTTCGCGATTATTTTAAAAAGACTTCTTAAACAATAATTTATACCAGAGTGTAACAATATTCCATGTTTAATCATAAGACGGAAAAGGTTTTTCAGTTTAATAGAGATGTTTTAATTGAAATTGTGGAATTCGCTATGGTTTACAGTATTTTACTAGTTGAATTACTATAACAATAACTCATTACTTCAATTTATATGAATTGTTATTTTTAGGTTATAAATTGGGAGAGCACTCTTCATATCCCAGACGCGGCAAACCTGTCCCGTGAGAGCAAAGATCTCATTCTCCAACTTTGCTCGGGTCAAGATACGAGACTTGGAAAAGACGCCAATGAGGTCAAGAATCATCCCTTTCTAAAGAGTATAGATTTCGAAAAGGGTCTTCGCAGACAGGTGGCGCCTTACATACCAAGAATAGAATACCCCACTGACACTTCAAACTTTGACCCAATCGATCCCGACAAGCTGAGGAACTCTGGCAGTTCAGACTCAAACAAGTCTGACAGCGAGTTGCTGGACAATGGAAAGACGTTCCATGGCTTCTTTGAGTTCACCTTCCGAAGATTCTTCGACGACGGCTACACGAATAAAATCAACCTCGACGACGACAGCCAGGGGCCAGTTTACGTGTGAGCCAGTAGTACGACAGTGGTAAAAGAAACACTGAGACTAACTTGTAGGATTTTACAAAGTGTGTGCCTTTGACTCTCTATATTACACTAGTTTTTTTTTGTAAACATAATGAATGTAACGTATTTAAATTTTAATCTTAAAGCCGTATTGTTAATAATCCCGGTGATAATGTTGTAATATTGTATCGTTATGTATTTGTAAGAGTAATCTTATTGTAATATATGTGTAATGGATGGATCACAGTAGTACATAGCCTGGGTTACTATGGTGCTTTTAGACCGCGTTGTATCGTCGCCCCACGCGTCGAGTTGTCTAATGTTCCATTCACTGTATACTATTTTTGTAACTAGAGAAATTATTTATGAAATAAGAACAAGCATATGAAGTAGTGAATAATTTGTCACTATATTTTCTTATGTATTTATCGAGGTAGGTCGCTTATAAATGTGTGTTTGTTTATATAATTGTAAAACGTAACTTATGAAAGTCATTAACAGTTGTATTTTTGGAATTGGCGTATGTGATGTCGTTATTGAAGTGCTTCCATTCTGTCAGCAGGACGTTAGCTCATTTGTGTGCCTTAACTTTTCTATTAAACAGTTTATACAAGTATACATTTATCATTGTAGAATCAGATTTTGATAACTCAACATCGTGTAGAGGGTGCAATAGCTATTTATTAACTAAAACGGTACTCTTTTTGTTGAGATTTAATTTATATTGTTTAAATTTATAAGGATGTGACTGTCCTGTCAAATATCACATTCAAAAATCTCATTCGATTCTTTGTTGGAAATATTCACAATTTATTTTGTTTTAACTAACTTTAATTTTTTAACGTGTAGCGCAATTAGTAACATTGATAATTGATACAACAGAACAAAAACCGCCATGTGTGTAGCACCATAATAGAGGCAAGTTTGTGGTAATCCGCAGACGAGTTTTAATTTGTACAGTATGATATAAACGAGTCACTTCACTTAAATTATGTGTTATTGAATGTAAATTGTTTTATTCTAAAAATGAAACATGCTTATAAGAAGTAAATGAAAATAAAACATGGGAATTTTGTTGATTTTTTGTTTAATCCTTATAAAGCTTTTAAAATGCATTTAATTTACACTTGATAAAAATAATAAACAAAACTTTTAGGGCCTCCGCTCACAGACGGCGCGGCATCGCCCGCCGTGTCAAAGGATTTTTTCATGGACAAAAAACGTTCGACATTATTTTAATTAAATTAGCACTGACATTCCTTTATTTCGATCAAAACGTCTCGCACGACACCGCGGCATGCTGCTGCACGTCACGTCATTCCGCGGAATACTGCGGCACGTCACGGCATTCCATGGGATGCCGCGGCACACCACTGCATCACGTGAAACGCTTAAGTTACTTCATGTTGTTAAAGGAATGTGACTGCTAAGTAATTGAAACAACGTTGAATCTAGTCCGTAGCGGCGGCAATCTCAGCGACTCGCGCGAGCGCCTGGTACACGGGCGCGTCTTAAGTGTTGTTTGGAACGCCGCGGGATGCCACAGGATCGTTCGGCATACCGACGAGTGCCTTGCCATGCTGTGCCGTCTGTGAGTGCAGGCCCTTTGTCGGTAGCATTATGTACATGATACATTCAACTGGAGGGTAAAAGTAAAAATTCTTGAACTCTCTTGTTAAAATCTTCAGCATACCGGATATGAATGTTGTGTTTGCCTTCAGGATACAGATGGATTCTGGAATCATTGAATAACATGATAAAATTCACATTCATATAGACTATTGTAAAAGGTACAGTACACAGACCATTATAGTGGAACGCATCGAAGGCCTCAGCATCAGACGAGCATAATCTAATCTTTGAGTTGAAAAAATGATTTATATGAATGCTATTTAGCATTAGATTTAAAAATAAAATAGGAGACAGCCGGCTTATCGTCTTCGACTAATTGACGTTATTTCGCGCTCATTAATGATTACTATAATAATTGCAATGCGATCGCCACAAACTGACAGCACGCTCACCGCTCATTGCAATGCGGTCACATACTACGTGACCAAAACAATTAAGTGCATGACAGCTAAAGCGAGGAATTCACTTGACGGACATGCCCGCGGGCATGTCTGTAGACATGCCTGCCGGACTTCGCTACTATAGGTCTGTGCAAAGTTTGATAGTGTAGGACCGTCACAGTCGGTCTGGCAGACTTGCCTGTTGAACGTCCGCGCAAAGCCATTTTGACAGTGCGCTCGTCAAGCTTTACAACGAGGTCGTCACTAATTCAAATTTATTTTCGTTCGCTAACATTGCTGAGGAAAAGTTTAGAACACTAGTCAGTCCTGAGGTTAAAGTAATTAAAGAAATTAGTCGTTTCTCACCCTTATTATAAAAATTAATATATAATTAATTTATAAATAACTGCTTTCATTTGAGGGCTCGGTAGCAGTGCTCTGGCTAGCCGTTAAGTTACTGCACGCGGGACCATGGGTTCGTATGCATCACAACAATTTGTATGTTAATATAATTGTCCCAAGTCTGGATATTTGTCCTTGTGCTGTTTATGTACTAGTGCTGCCAAATTTCAACTAACGGCTTTGGGCTCGGCAGAAAGACTAGCTATGGGGGAATTGGTGACTCCAATTTGGTTTAAGATAATCTTACCAGTCTCGAGCACAGGCGTAACCTAGCCAGTCTCTTGGTATTATACGTGATACATTTTAGAGCGTGCATAGGATTTACATGAATTTATTCCTGCCTCTCTTCCATCATTGGATAATCGGCGTCTCCAGTCTCCACCCCTTAATTGTCGACAGATCACGCATTTGAACCGAATTGTTTGCTTTCGTCATCCATAATTCGTATAATAAAGATTTAGAATAATATGTCTGCATCTGTCTTTTCAACCATTTACACTGTCCTCAAGGCAAGAGTGAATAGTGTTGCGCGCCACGATTAATGAAAATGTACCATGGTACATAGCGACACTAGTTACCACTAGCGCCCTCTAGCATCAAGTGGCAGAACTAGGAGAGTCAAGAACATTATAGAAATTCCCATGGACGAACTTTCTAGAACTAGTCAACTGGATTGATGAATTTTCTTGTATGAGTTGGAGTGGGTGATTGGTTTGGATGGTTTAGATTCACAATTAGACGCGGTGGGTGGCACTGTTGTAGAGATCCAGAAATCGCCCGTACGAAGCCATGGCGGATCGCAAGTAATTAAAATGTAGGTATCTTCACGGATATTGCTCGGTTTGATAGCTTTAAAGCGCTTGAGCTACCATGGTCCTTATCATGCTCTCGCATCATGTTAGTTCATATGGAGCTAAAATAGCGATGTTATGGCGGTGAGCATAAAGTTATATATTACTCACTGAACAGGACTTCTTTCATATCTGAGAATTTATGGAGCAATTAATCTGCCACGTAGCTCCGGACCGGTTGGTGGACTTCATATTATGTCCTCCTCCTATATTTTTTTATTCTTTTTAAAAAATTTACCTTCATACTAGGATTTTCTCTTGTATCGCGGAGGCAGTTTACATAAATGAATTGCACAAGGACAAATTCCAAACCCGAAACAATTATTTGTAGGCAAATACTTGTTCCGTGCGGGATTTGAGAACCTACGACCCTCGGTACCACAACTCATTTCTAAACCACAGCGCCACGGAGCCGTCATATATATTATTTATTATTTCACATACATGCAGCTTTTCGCATCATGTATTCGCTGAGCAAGAGGTAAATTAGCATTTAAAATTGAAATTAACAATAACACTGATATTGGCGGTGATCGAACCCGGGTTGCTAGCGAACTCTTTAATTTACAACGATCACTTAGACCCTGGACTACGAAGTCTCTTTTTAAAGAGGTAAAAGAAAATAATTACCTTGATCCCTCGATATTTGTATGTAAATGAGAAACATGAACGTTATCAACCATGGCATCCTTTTCCCCATATAATATAAGTGTCGGACAACTGATATTTTTCAGCAGCTCAGAACAAATGTTGCCATTTTTCGTTTCTAATATTAACGCCATGCCGTCAATCCAACTAGCCCAATACTTTGCAAAATTTTCCTCTCCATAAATATCTACCATTGGCTGCCGCATTCTGTTCGACCATAATTTTATGTCCTTTATTTCTGTAAGTTAGCAAATTATATTAATACATAACGTCACACTTGTAATCCCCAAAGTGGTAGGCCACCAAAGTTATTTTTATCATTGTGGTTTAATAATGGACTTGACAGGCAGTTATAATAAAAATACATTTCTAGGACTGAACTTAGGTGCTCACATACATTATACATGGTAGAGAGACGTCGATCTAGTGGTTGTAACCTTGACTGATGATCATGAGGTCCCAGATCGGGCCAAAAGCAGTTATTGAGTTTTTCTGTCAAGAATTCTCATTAGCAACAAATGAAGTAACAGGAAGTTGGCAGTGCAACGCAAAAAAAAGCACTTTACGCCGTTGGTCCTGCACATGAAGCAAATACAAAGAGGAGATGGCATAAGCAACTGCACTGTGATTCTAAGTAGGTCCTGACGTCACAATAGTGGGCGTGGCTTTAGTTAGTAAACTGTCAGCATTCGTTCTGCGCGCTTATGTGTTGAAAATCGCAAATCGGTGTATTTTCGTAGTATTAAGAAGAAAAGGATGATGAAGTGTTGTGTTTTATGTAGTTTTACTATTTATCGGTAGATGTAGATAGTGTAAACTGGGCGGGGCTTAACATCCCCCCTCACCCCGCAAATTGGCACGCGTTGTTACATAGTGAAATTTAATGAGGGCATCCACGACATTTTCTGCCACTAGAGCGGCGCCACTAGAAAGTGAGTTATAGTATTTGACAGATTTCATTGTTCAGAAAATGTAAAAGTTATTGTTTCTTTTTGTAATATTAGCTATATTTTATATTAAGAACATTAAAAATAAATAAACCAAAACGTAAATATTCATAAAAGTAGAAAACTTAAAAAAATGTTAAAAAT